GGGAAGATATTGGTGTCCCCGAGGATTTTACAACTGGTGAGATGGTCTCCGGAATGTGGTGGCGACATTTGGTGTCCGGTGGCGTAGCAGGTGGTGTATCACGCACATGTACTGCACCTTTAGATCGTATTAAAGTTTATCTACAGGTAGGTTTATAAGAATATTTCAGATATAAAAATCTTTGATTTACCAAATAATATTTAACTTAATGTATATAACATATTAAATTTAAAGAAGATAAGAAACAAAAAAATTAAATTTAAAGAAAAAAATTTAATTATTAATAGAAATTAAAAGATAATTATAGTTTAATAGATAATATAATCATAATATTAGATACGTAATAAATATTAAAAAATATAAATATAAAATAAAAAATAATAAAAAATAATCAAAATTAAATGTAGTATTCAGTTCTATTGTTTTACAAAAAATATTTTTAGGTGCATGGAACGCGACATTGCAAAATCAAAAGTTGCTTCAGGTATATGCTTCGTGAAGGTGGCTCTCTTAGTTTGTGGAGAGGAAATGGTATAAATGTACTTAAAATCGGACCAGAAAGCGCGTTGAAATTTATGGCCTATGAACAAATTAAAAGAGCGATTAAAGGAGATGATGTTAGAGAGCTCGGTCTTTACGAACGATTAATGGCGGGATCATTAGCTGGTGGAATTAGTCAATCAGCTATATATCCACTTGAGGTATACAATTAACAAATCATAATATCTAAAATATTTATTATTTTATAATGATATTATTCATGATATTATAGGTACTCAAAACTAGATTTGCACTTAGAAAAACAGGAGAGTTTTCAGGTTTAGTAGATGCAACAAAAAAGATATATAAACAAGGAGGTTTAAAATCTTTTTATAGAGGCTATATTCCTAATTTAATGGGAATAATTCCATATGCTGGTATTGATTTGGCTGTATATGAAGTAAATATAAAATTGAAATAATTAATATTTAATAATCTTTGGAATATTATTATTTACTATTTTTTATTACAGACTTTGAAAAACAGGTATTTACGAACACATGATAAAAATGAACAACCACCCTTTTGGATATTATTATTATGTGGAACAGCTTCAAGTACAGCCGGTCAAGTGTGCTCATATCCTTTAGCATTAGTTAGAACACGGTTACAAGCAGATATATCACCAGGAAAACCAAATACTATGATTGCTGTTTTTAAAGACATTATTAAAAATGAAGGAATTCGCGGTTTATACAGAGGCTTAACTCCAAATTTTTTAAAGGTATGAAATAACTTGAATAACAAAATTTGACCAATTCTAAAATTATTAATTATATTAATTGTCTTTCTCTTTTAGGTGGCACCAGCTGTATCCATTAGTTATATAGTATATGAAACTGTTAGAGATTTTTTGGGTGTTAATATGACGTGATGATTATTTATTTTAGGTAATATTAATTTAATTAAATTATTTTTTAATTACATTATATTAAAATATACAAACATACCAGTCGTTGGTTGGGGTATTGAGCAATTTGGCATATTTTGCCTTTTGTTACATGTAACATCGCTTATTTATTGTTAACTTGATGCTTTTACAATTATTTAAGCATTTGCCATTTTTCAATTGTATCATATTATTACAATATAGAATACATATTTATAAAAGAATTTAAATAAGAAAATAAGTATAATAAGAATGGTCAATACAAAGAATTTGAATAATTTTCAACGAGATTTATATACTTGTGAATATATTATATTAATTAATTTAATTATATTCATTGTTATTTTTATTTTACTTCAGTAAAGAAAAACAAAAATATAGATTTTTAATTTAAAAGTAGAAATGATAGTACAAAGGTAATTAGTAAAAAGTATTATGACTTATAATTTCATTTTGATTGTTTTTTTTTTTTTATTGAAATATATAAGATCATGAAGTATGACTGGTAGTTGTAATAACAAGAAGAAAAAAATTCTTCATACAATAGCAAAGTTTCAAAAGTCAGATAATAAAATGCATGAGATATAATTTTATGAAAATATATGAATGTATTATTTAAAAATACATTATACAATTTTTTGAAAGTAGTAAGATCAAATTATATTATTACTGTGATATATATGATTATAAGATAAATTTTAAAAATATAATTCAATGCATAACATCCTATTAATTTTAAAAATATATTTAATTTTTAACGTAAATATCTTCCAGTATTTAATAATAATATTAATGATAATAATATAATTATAGTAATAATAATAATAATAATAATAATAATAATATCAACAATAACAATAATAATGATGAATAATTATAATAATAATAACAACAACAATAATAATAATAATAATGAATCCGCTTATCGCATAAGATGTTATGCTATGAGTTATTGCGAAAACTACATTTTTATAATTTATATGTTAAATTTGTTTTACGAATGGTTTATTCTCCATATTATATTTGTCACATATATTGTTCTTAGTAATAGTCTCATTAGTGAATTTTGTCAATGAATTATGTATATTCTATGTATTATAAATAATATATATTTAGGCTCCAAAGAAGTATATCGAGATATGGTATTATATCCGTGTCTGTTTACTTCTTTTTTCAGAATAATTGCAGAAATAATCATGAGTCTTAATTGAAAATGATAAAGAATAATAACTTTCTGTTCAAATAATTTCTGTTCAATTTAATTGCAATGAAGTTTTAGATATTATTTTTATGAATTAAAGATATCCTTTTACATTTTTCATTAGATTTTTAATATAAAAAATAAAATATAAGTAAAACAGTTAAAAATTACTAATCTTTTATAAAGTAATTAAAACATTTTATGTATTATATTACGTAGAAATATATAATTTTCGATTGCTTTTAAGTTAATAGAATGTTCACTATATTACAAATAGAATTTCTTAAAATTCATATAATTAAAAAAAAAATTATATATATTTATATTGTACGAAATTAAAATGTTTTACGAATTACGCATTATTACATATTATAATGAAATTGACAATTAAGTCTTGTGAAAATCATTGTGATTAATTTTTTTTTTTAATCTTTTTATGATATTCATCATACATATAACATTTTTATATTAAAAAGAATTAAAAAGCATATAGAAATTATAAGTATAATTTATATAAATATATAAATATAAATATTTAAATATTATATAAATATATTAAATTATTGTAAAAGTCTAGTTCCTAACTAATTAACATTGGTTATTGAATTCGACTGAATGTTATCTATTAAATACGTCACACATGATATTCCTGCCTCAAACTATACATACATATTAATAATTTATATATGATAATGATAATATACAAAAACATATGCATCGTATCAAAATATTTTTTGCTACATACCTATTTATTAATATTTATTCATTTTAATATAAATCACCAAAGAATATCTTTTATAATTTGCAAAGTGCATACATAATTCTTTATTATATATATATATATTAGATATATCTATTTACTTCTGTATAAAAAAATTGCAATTATATTTTTCTTTGGAAACAAAATATATTCAAAATAATTTCATGTTTCATGATTAGAATGCAGAATTAAATAGAAATTATGACAAAATAAATGTGTTATATCATTCTATTCATAATATAATAATAAAAATATGATTATTCTTTTATGTATATTTTTTTATCATAAAAATTTTAATTTTAATTCAGTAATTTTATTTATTAAATTTTGTAATTTAACAAAATTATAAATTAAAACTATATATTTTTTTGTGCATTTTATTGTTTATTTGATTTAATTTTTTAAAAATATTTTTATTTATATTTTTTTAAAATATAATTTATGATAAATTTATAATCGAATCGTATAATGTTGAATATATGTATCATAAATTTTTTTATATGTTCTTTTTATATATAAATAAATATTGCTGAAAATTTATATATTTTTTAACTCTGGCAATGATATCATATCCATATTATTTAAACAAAGTTTTTATCATTTTCATTTTTTTTTATATAATTTTGTAAATTTATTAAAATAATATAATGAATATAAATTGAAATTTGATGATAATTAATAATATGATTTAGTAAAAATTCTTTATCTTATTATATTTTATATCTGCTATAACTGAATGTTTATAAATTCAAATAGAAAAATAAAATATTTGAAATTTATAAATATTAAAATTTACAACAGAATAACATAAAATAGATTAAATGATAATAAGAAAATATAAAAATTATTGAGCAATAAATTATAAAAAAATATCAATTTTTTCATTAAATATTTCAAATAAGAATATATATATATATATATATATATATATATATATTA